TGACGACGACGACGACGACGATGATGATGAAGACGACGACAAGCCGCTCAGCCGCACGGCAAAGTCAAATCGCAAACCGCCAAAGACCATGTCCATCACCGGCTCCGGCGAGAAAAAGTGGGATGTGTTGGTGCACAAGGGCCCGCGCTTCCCCGACCCCTACCACCCGCTCCCCAAGGACGTCAAGCTCAAGTACGACGGCAAGCCCGTGGACCTGCCGCCAGAGACAGAGGAGGTCGCCATGTTCTACGCCGTCAAGATCGAGACCCAGCACGCCCAAAATCCAATCTTCAACCGCAACTTCTTCGACGACTTCACCGCCGACCTCAAAAAGTTCCCGCCAAGAGACGGCACCCAGATCAAGTCGTTCGACAAGCTCGACTTCCGCGACATGTACAACTACTGGAGGAGCCTCAAGGACGCAGAGAACGAACGCAAAAAGGCGCTCGCTCCCTCGGCACGCAAGCGCGAGATCGAGGCGCGCAAAGTCGAGGAGAACACCTGGAAGATCTGCCTCGTAGACGGAGTCGAACAGCGCGTCGGCAACGTCAACGTCGAACCACCCGGCCTCTTCCTCGGCCGCGGCGCCCACCCCAAAGCCGGCAAGGTCAAGCGCCGCATCTACCCAGGCGACATCACCATCAACCACAGCGCCGAGCATCCCGCCCCCTCGCCACCGCCGGGCCTCGGCGACTGGGGCGAAGTGGTGGAGAAGAAGGACGTCACCTGGCTCGCCTACTGGAAGGAAAACATCAACGGCCAGTACAAGTACGTCTTCCTCGACGCCACCTCCAACTTCAAGACCAACTCGGACCGCGAAAAGTTCGAAAAGGCGCGCAAGCTCGACACGGTCGTCAAGCAGATCCGTCGCGACGTCAACAAGAATCTCAAGTCCAAGGTGCGCAACGAGCGTCAGATCGCCACCATCGTATGGCTCATCGACAACTTCTCCCTGCGTGCCGGCAACGAAAAGGGCGAGGACGAGGCGGAAACCTACGGCGTCTGCTCCCTCCGCTGCGAGCACGCACAGGTCAAGATGCCCGACACCATCCACCTCGAGTTCCTCGGCAAGGACTCGATGAAGTTCGAAGAGGATCTCAAGATCACCAATCCGGACGTCTTCAAGAACATCACCATGTTCCTCAAGACCAACGGCATGAAGGACAAGTCGGGCAACTATGTGCGCAAGAAGCCCAACGACCCCATCTTCTGCGCCCCCGGCGACTCGGCCGCCGGCAAGATGCAGCCGCTGCAGCCCAGCGCCGTCAACACCTTCCTGTCCAAGTACATGAAGGGCCTCAGCGCCAAGGTCTTCCGTACCTACAACGCCTCGGTCACCTTCCAGGGCCTGCTCGAGCAGACCGAAGAGTGGCTCAGGTCGCGCCCCAACAAGGCCGAACGCGAGATCAACCAGACCAACCTGCGCCTGGCGTACAACGAGGCCAACCGACAGGTGGCGATCCTGTGCAACCACCAGAAGACGGTGAATCCGATGCTGCTCAATCGCAACCTCGAACGCACGCAGGAGAAGATCTTCCAGATCCGGTACGAGATCATGAAGGAGCAGCAAAAGATCCTCACGTTCCACAAGATCGGCGAGCTCAAGAAGGAGTTCAAGGCCAAGGAGTTTCCGTTCATGAAGCAGTTTGACCTCATCATGCAGAGGCAGGAGCTCGACGCGGACAAGGTCAAGGAGTACGAGGAGCGCCTGATCAGCGACAAGAAGGCGAAGCTCGAATCGACGTTCAAGCGTCAGCAGTCCGAGGTGCAGTACCAGCTGGAGCAGAAGGGTGTCGCGAGCGAGGACGGCACCAAGAAGAAGGGCAAGAAGGCCAAGGACGTCGAGGAGGAGGTGCGGTCGTCGATCAAGGGGTTCAAGGACAAGAAGCAGGTGGACGACGAGCTCAAGGCGCTCAGCGAGACGGCCAAGCGGCTGGAAAGGGAGCGCAAGACCAACAAGTCGCAGGCGGCCAGCTGCAACTTTGCGAGCTCGGCCAAAAAGATCCTGAGCAAGCACGACATGATCCGCAAGCAGGAGGCGGAGCTGGTCAACAAGAACAACACCTCGGACGTGGCGCTGAGCACGTCCAAGCTCAACTACATTGACCCTCGTATTACGCTCGCCTGGCTCAAGGAGTGGGACGACCGGCTCGTCGACATGGGCCTGGGCAAGAATGCAGCAGGCAAGAAGAAGGCGGTCAAGAAGGAGGAGGAGGAGGAGGAGGAGGACGTCAAGCCGGCCAAGAAGGGTGGCAAGAAGGGAGCTGCTGCTGCAGCTGCCGCTGCCAAGAAGGCCAAGACGGGCACGGCCAACTCGACGGGCGACAGCGAAAAGATGGAGCTGGGGCTGCAGGTGATGAACATCAGCCAGTTCTTTGCGGCGTCGCTGCAGAAGAAGTTCAAGTGGGCAGCGTCGGGCGACGATGGACGCGACATTTCGGCGCGGTGGGTGTTTGTCAAGGACGCGCAGGGCAAGATGCGCAAGCTGGATTCAGCGGAGCGCAAGGGCCAGGACGGCGGATCGATGGTCGCCATGACCGATGCGGCCGAGACGAGCGAGGTGAAGCAGCGCGCGGCCAACGGCACGCTCAAGCCGCAGACGGCGGCGGACAAGAAGCGGAGCGAGCCGCTCAAGGCGGTAGACAAGGCCGAGGAGAACGAGAGCGACAGCAGCATGAGCAGCGACAGCGAGAGCGACGACGACAAGCCGCTCGCCGCGTCGTGAGGCGCAGTGTATCTAATTGATCACACCATCAGGTTTCGGCAGCAATGATCATGGCCAGTCACCGTGCGGATAGGGCGTTGTGATGAAGTGGATGTGTTGCTGGCAGGGTGTTGGATTTTGGCATGCAGCTCTGCCGGGGTGCAGCCCCGCTCTAGAAACTCGCAGTCGAGGGTCAAAGCGGCCGCAGCGCAGCAGGCGGAAAGGTGTCCCGTGCGTCATGCGGGTGTGGACATTGACTGCGCCGCACATAAAGGAGCCCCTGAACGCGCGCCGCCCCTCCACTCTCGCAACCTCGCTCCTCTCTCCTCCTCCATCCCGCACCCATCCGACACTTGATTGCAACTTGGGGAAACATGACTACGCTTGGGAATCTCGACATTGGAGCAGCGAATGCGGGTGGTTCCGCTGAGGCGGGAGCGCCCAAAAGCCCGCTCACGGAAACGGAACGCGCGCGTCTGGAACGCAGCCTGGGTCATCGACCGGATCGGCACGAGCTGGAGGAACGCAACATCCTCAAGCCCGGTAACCTCGCGCCTGCGCTCCAGGCCAAGCGTGACGAGCTGCAGAAATCGCAACTGGCCGACAGACTCGAAGGCCGTTTGGAGCGACGACCGGAAAAGGACGATCTTGTCAACCGGGGCATCTTGAAGGACCAGAGTGTCGCTCCGGCACTGCAGGCCAAGCGAGAGGAACTGCAAAAGTCCCAGCTAACGGACAAGCTCGAGGGAAGGCTGGAACGAAGGCCCGAGAAGGATGACCTGGTCAATAGGGGGATTCTTAAGGACCAGAGTGTCGCCCCCGCCCTGCAGGGTAAGAAGGAGGAACTCGAACGAGCCAGACTCGGAAACTCGCTCCAAAAGGAGCTGGAACATCGACCGGACCCCGAAGAGCTCCGACAGAAAGGCATCCTCCCGCAAGATGCTTAGCCTTGCCCCACCTACGAGCCTATCGTAAAGGTCCCGCCGTCTTGTTTCGTTGTTCCTTCGTCGTTGTCCAGCAATCGTATCTTGCCCTGTGCCCGAACAAAGCTATAACTCAGTGAAGAGGAGGGCGCAGGTATACGACGACTGACCGAGCAGACTGGTGCTTGCCAGGAGCTGGAGCTGCAGCTGAGTCCGCTCGTATGCAAGGGTCCAAGTGCGGATCATTGCGGAGAAAAAGAGCAGATTTTGTTGGAAAAAATGGCCTAACATTCCAAACGTTTTTTTGGGGACCGCCCCGGCTCGCGCGTGAAATAAGCCGATGCGACACCTGTCGGGCGACTAAAGCGTTAAAGGAAAGCGCCGCGCCGCCCAAATTCGGATTCGGCCGGCGTCCCGGTGCACCGGCTTTGCCACCCCCGGCAATCATCGCTTGCTTCCACCTTACCACCACCATCACCGACACGCATCAACACACGATCGACCCGTTCGACCGACATGTCGCTGTCCGACCTCGTCTCGGGCGGCGCGGGTTGCGGGCCATCCAACCCGCTCCAGAACATCGGCAAGCGTTTCGGCCAGGATCGCGGTGCGCAGCAAGACTCGTTTGCCAACACGCCCTTTGCGCAGCAGCAGCAGGCACCCTCATTTCGCTCGGCATCCTCGTCGCAGCAGCAGCAGGCACCCTCATTTCGCTCGGCATCCTCGTCGCAGCAGCAGCAG